TAGTTCTCTAATGTACCATAAATATCTAACACTGAGTTACCGTATGGTTATTTTTCCATTTTAATCTTCTCTTCATATACTAGACTAGAGGAATTGGTTAAAAAGGATTGCTTTGCTATTGTAGGAGGTGACCAGGAAACCAAATCTGACCACATTCCTCCTTTCTATTGGTATATCTTCCCCTTGCCCACTCTCATCTAGAACATTGATCTACCATTACTTCCTCCATAAATTATGTTTCTGTTGATTGCACACTTGGACCTTTATTTTAAATCTCAGCTGTGTGCTCAGTGTTTACTGGTGAGCTATATATGGCTAAGCTACAGTATGCCAACTGTGTTTTTTACATGTGGGAAATAAAAGGCAACATTATGTTGTATGTGTGCATGTAGAGACTCTAGAGTGAAAATCTAATGGGAAATTTCTGCTAATACCACCTCTCTTTGCAAAGGATACCATGGCTATGGCAAACAACGAAATGTTCAAGCAGCAGCTACTCCTGCTCAAGAACTTTGTAGACAGGACACAGTTGGCATTCTAGAGATCGAGGCCTACAACTACACTAGTCAAAAAAAGGCTCACAATGTTGGATACACAAATCCAACAATTTAAGCATATACTGGAATTATGATAAGAAATATTTGAATAAATAATGAGTACTCAAATAAATGATCCAAATCTATTCCCAAGTTATTGTGATCATCCCAATCCAAAACAGTGTTACCAGCCGAGTGAGGCTATACCTCCCTCATAACATACTGTGACTGTAATTCACCTCAGACCATTTGACTTTAATATAATTTAATAGGTAACAGTCTGTGCTACAATTCCCTAATAATGTGGACACAGTCACAGATATCAAGTCCTAATTCTAAATAGGTATGCCTATAAATGCATACATGAATCAACAATCTATTGATCTCTTATTTGAACCTCAATAGTACCAGTAGATAGTAAAAATGATCCTGAATAGAGTAAATTGTAAATGATGTTATATCCAATACCTAATATATACAAATAGTATGAAGGATGTCTCTATTACAGAATGTATATCTTGAACTAATATAATAGAGCCCTGTAAGGAGATTACTAATAGTGATCACATAACTATAATCTTCAATAATGTATCTCCTTAACAGGATATGAATGAGGTTAAAGAATAAGGACTAAAGGGGAGGTTAGAAAAGTATTAAAATGCTAATGTGCAGAACCATACTTAGAGTGTTGGTTGCCTGCACATAGTAAAGTGAAAGTGCCCAAAGTGACAGTGAGAAAACAAAGAAAAGCGGAAAAACCCGACACGCGTTTCGGTGCTTAAAGCATGCATCTTCGTCGGGGGCCAGAAGGTGTCACTTTGGGCACTGTCACTTTGGGCACTGTCACTTTGGGCACTGTCACTTTGGGCACTTTCACTTTACTATGTGCAGGCAACCAACACTCTAAGTATGGTTCTGCACATTAGCATTTTAATACTTTTCTAACCTCCCCTTTAGTCCTTATTCTTTAACCTCATTCATATCTGGGAGCCGAGGAGGGGGGCAATAGGTCCCCCCCAATATTTTTCTTTAGGACCCCCACCCGCCTCTCAGGGGTGGGGGCAATAGCCCCCCCTTTAGTTTAAAAGGCCCCACTCACGTGTCGCGGGTGGGGGCTCGGGAGGGGGGACCCATTTTTTACTGGCACTGGCCGCTCATTGTTTAATAGACATGCCCCTACTCACGGTATAGCAAGTAGGGGCACAATTTACTAATACTAAATAATTTTTACTTAGTATTAGTAAATTTGGCTGGAAGACCAATTTGGGTCTTTCAGCCTTTTGGTAGATAACTCCCTAATACCGTGGGAATTAGGGAGTTATCTACTAAGCGGCTGCAAGAGACGTTCCGAAGTTCCAAAATTACCGAATTCCCAAATGCCAAACTGAACTGAAAAATTTTCCCATGCACATGCCTAGCAAATACAATCAGCCAAAAACATCCTGTGGAAAAAGCAAGGTCTGTTGTTGTTTTTTTTAACCCCTTAAGGACCAAACTTCTGGAATAAAAGGGAATCATGACATGTCACACTTGTCATGTGTCCTTAAGGGGTTAAAGAGCATTGTCAGGTCTGGGAAAACAAACATGACCAGTAAAGTAATCCTTAATCTTTGTGATCAGGGACCCAAATTATGTGCATGGCATAAACAGAGTGCCTAGTGAGTTGGAGGCAAAGGCCAAGTGATCTGATGATTAATCTGCCTCTGAAGTTCCACTGCTCAATCCACTGCCCTAGCCACACCTCCCCTGGCTGTGACTCACACAGCCTGCATGGAATCAAAATTATTTCACTTTCAATCAGAAGTAATTTACTTTAAACATTTTTATCTACAGTAAATTAAACTTTAATCACATACAGGAGGCTCTAGCAAGCTTTTAACAGAACAGGAGAGAAGAAATTTTATATTAAACAGAATTTCCAATAAAGGAAGTACAAACATTAGATGACTCTTTATAGGAAGTGTTTAGGAAGGCTGTGAAAGTCACATGCAGGGAGGTGTCGATAGGGCTGTATGTAAAGTGCTTTAACTCCTAAATGAATGAGAATTCAGCTTTGAGACTCCAAAGGCATGATCTATACACAAAAACCGCCTCAACAAGCAAAGCTGTTTTGTAATTATAGTGTCCCTACATGCCAAAGATTGAATATCTGAATATATGATCTATTCCTTTAAAGGTTCCTAGAAGGATGTGAAATTATTTAAAAAAACTTTTTAAGATTTGTGTGGGGTTATACGAAATTAGAATATCTGTAAGAAATATGATTTAAAAATTTAATGGAGGAATGTCCATTCCAGATATTCTTGATGTAGCATATGCTATTATGTTTTCACACTATTTGGACAGGAAAGTTGGCAGAGAAAATCCCCTGTGGTACTTATATGAAAAGTTATGTTGTAATAATATTGATTAATTACTGATTTATTGGGTATAACCGGAGATCTGCAAAGGACTGAATATTAAAGGACCACTATAGGCACCCAGACCACTTCAGCTTAATGAAGTGGTCTGGGTGCCAGGTCCATCTAGGGTTAACCCTTTTTACTGTAAACATAGCAGTTTCAGAGAAACTGCTATGTTTACAAATGGGTTAATCCAGACTCTAGTGGCTGTCTCATTGACAGCCGCTAGAGGTGCTTCTCACTGTGATTTTCACAGTGAGAAGACGCCAGCGTCCATAGGAAAGCATTGAGAATGCTTTCCTATGGACTGGCTGAATGCGCGCGCGTGTGTTTAACCCCCTTCCGCCTGGCGGGAGTGGGACCCTGAGGGTGGGGGCACCCTCATGGCACTATAGTGGTCCGAGTTTGTTTTCCTGGCATTATAGTGGTCCTTTAATAATAAAGCTAAGTGTGATATTTATCATATTATTAAAAAATTGAATCTTTAGAAAGAAAGACAGATTGCGTCATTAGAAGTAACAATTATATTTTAAAGATCTAGATATAAGAAAATGGAAAGATCGTGGAAGCACTTATTTGGGAGACTTGAAGAAGAATGTTATAAAATCTTTCTCTAAATTACAAAATATTTATGAACTATTTTCTGTTGAATACTTTACATATCCAAGATCTGTAAACTTTTTGAAATCTAAATCAATGTCTAAAGATTCTACTCTGGGTAAATTCTAAATGTAGATGAGAAAACAAAATTAATATCAAAGATAAAACTATATTCAGTTTTAAAGCCAAGGGTAAACGGACTGGAATGATTAAATAAGAAGAAGATTTGAGTCAGAGTTTGTTTTTTTTAATTACAGACCTGGCTAATCACATTTAGATTATTCAAAAAATCCATACAATGTTTCAGTATTTTTGAGACTCTATTGAAAATTCTCCATAGATGGTATTGAGTCCCGCAAGTTTTATGTAAATACAATGTTAATATTTCTGAATACTGCTGGAGATGTTATTTGGAAACAGGGACTTTGTTCCATATATGGTGGAATTGTAAGAAGCAAGAAAACATTAAATTGATGATAATTAAGATAATAGAAGATGTCTTGATAATACAGGTTTCAGGTAATGCTCAACCTCTTTCATTTTCATTTACCAACGAATTCCAGACCTAAGAAGCTTTTTATCATCCACATATTATGGCTGCAAAAATGTGTTCAGCACAAATTTTAGTACCTGGTTGGAATGAATTTATTATAGAGATTATCAGTTTACCATGGAAAAATATGCCTTTGAGAATGGAAATAATATAAAATTATGTGAAGAAATGTGAGGTCCATTGGTATCGATCACAAAAGTCTTTGGAAAACTGGCCTTAATTCACAGCGTCACTTCTTTTATGGAAAATATATACTTTTTTTTTCTTTTTGTCTGGTTTTTTCTTTTTCTGAATGATAGGAGTATTTCTTATTCGTAGGTTGCATGATATTTTATTGTCTGTTTTATTTTCTACAATATATGGAAAATATTGTAAAATCTAAAGAAATATCTGTAGTTTTGTTTGACTGTTGCATTGTCATAGAAAAATTCATTTTTAATAAATACATTGTAATAAAAAATGTTACTGTATTTGTGATTGCTTAATGTAAAGTCTTTTATGCAAATGTGAAGTCTTTATACACACAGATCTCTTAAGTAGAAAATGCAAAGCTTAGACACATCAGAGAATAGTTTAACAGTGCTTCAGTTGGAACCTCAGAAAAAATCTTCTCTTGGTTCTACTCGGAGTCTTATAATATTAACACAATGACGATTATTCAAGGAACTCCAAGTGTACACAAATTCATTTTGAATGGTAAAACTGGAGCAAAAATAGCCAAATTGTGACTAAGGTTGAGTCTGAGAATTTTTTTTTTTTTAATCAGCTGTTTATCCACAATTTTTACATTTAGATTTAACTCCGCAAAACGCGGAGCTTAGTGAAAACCCTGGAATGTATTCTGTGATTTTAAGAAAGTGAAGATTGGTATTCATAATCAGAGAGTACAAATTGTTTTAAATTAATTTTTGGGGGTTGTCTGTGAGTGTCCTGTGTGTGAAGAGCTTCTGGTGATATTTAAAATCTCAGACAAAGAAACATTACTCCATTTTTGTGAAGGGTATTTGAGTTTTATTTTACACGTAAACCACCGGCTTCTCATGTTTCATCACGAGCAGCTGGATTAACGGACCCCTATGGTTTGGAGAGAGACAAATATGTCTCCCACAATACACTTTTAAATACACTCATACGTGGATATTTCGACAGTGAAAACAGATATCAAGTCTTGCTTTACACTCATCATTGGGACATATGAGATCGGGTCTGTAAGTGGTGCGTTACTGCTGGACTCTGAACAGGGACATTTAACAGATTAAATACAGCATGACAGAGTGACAAACATTTTAAATAAAGAAGCCACATTCATTTCACTTACAAAACATGTTTTCATATCGGAATTGAGTAAACACACTGCAAGGATAAGCTTAATTTAACTATTGATTTATATATATAAAAAATAATGTATCCAGTGTGTCCACTCACCTGCCCTAAACTTCCCTTTTTCACTTTCACTTCGTCTGTAGTTCGCAGGATAATGACTTCTGTCAAAAATTAAAGGACCACTTAAGACACTTAATGTCAATGAAGTGGTCTCTGTGCAGAGGTCATGTCACTTAATCCTGCAATGTAAAACTTTGCACTGGAGAAGATTGTGGATGATGTCAGCTTGGATGCTGTAGTGGAGTCCCAGGGCATAAAAAAAAGAGGTTAATAATTATTAGTTAACTTTAATATTTGTTATGCCAAAGGGGGTGGATAAAAGGGAATCTATGGTCACGAAATAAGGATTGTTGTTTTGGAGACTATAGATTCCTTTTAACCCCTTAAGGACCAAACTTCTGGAATAAAAGGGAATCATGACATGTCACGAGTCCTTAAGGGGTTAAAGGAACACTCAGTACACCATGACAATCGATGCTCATTACACAGATTATGGTCCACAGAGGTCCCTTGTCTGTTTGCACTCAAATTTCTTAAAACTGCATCAGTTTGAGAAAATTACCACTGAAGGAAGGCAAGGCATTCTCTCTGCCAGTCTGCAATCTCATCTATAGAATTGAAATTCGTAATGTAATCATACCAAATAAATTACTGAATGGATCTCAAAACCGATAAAAAAAAAAAAAAAAGTATTTTACACTTGTACAGTAGCCGGTATACACTGCAATAGGCACAAAAGTAGGCTTGTACATATTATTCAGATAGCCTAAAAATATTTATTTAAAACATCACCTGAATTTTATTAAGATGGACCTGTAACAAGCCTGCTATAGTTGGATTTTCTGAAAACTAAAAAATAAAACCTTTACATTACTTAGAATGTAAACAAAAAAGATTGCATTTAATGTTTTAATAACTACTTTTAAAAGATGTGTTAACAGTCTTTTCAAATACTTATGTCTGGGACTGAGAAATAGCAAACGCCCCATAGCATAACAAGTTTCTTGGGAAGTAGATCTAAATCAATTACTAAGAAAATCTAAACCCTAAGAAAATCTAAAAACGTCAACACAATCTAATTACAAACAAATATCTGGTTTATGTTTTAATGGGTGACTGGTATGGCAAATCCGAAAGAATTCTGCTGTACGCTGGTTTGTCATACACTGGACCAAAAGATGCAGCATCAACAATAGTGACACAATTTTGACTTGGTAATACGATGGAGAAATAGAATGAATTCCATTATACATTTAACATGTAGGGAAATCAATAGACTTTACAGCACATTTTTGTTTTATTTTAAAATCACATTTTTGCATGAATTTTATATGAAAAAGGAAGTTTTTTTTGGACTAACAAAACAAAACAAAATCTGTTACCTGAAAGAATGGGAGAATTAAAAAAGGAATTAAAATTTCCAAATAAACATAGCCAAGCATAAAATATTTTGAATTTGAGACTTTTTATAGTTGACGTATTTTGATCTATTTTGAAGTTGCAATAACCATGTCAATTCTCCCGATTTTCTGGTTTAGAAAGAAAAAAAATGAACAACCCTGTGTAAATTTCTCTTTTTTTGTTTTTTAATCACGGACTTTCCCTGATCAGCGAACTTTTAAGGCCAAGTTTCTTCTGGATTAAAAGAAAGCTTTCTTTTGTCTTCTCCGACGTCACAGCTTACACCACGTGAGCTAAAGGTTTTCCAGTGTGTTAAAGTGACATAATTATTATATCTTATTGGACTGGTAACAAAACCTGACTAACATATAAAATAAAAATAATCTCAAAAATGTACAATCTAACTTAAAATTAATTATGGCTATGGTTGATATGAATAATTATTTTTTGTGCTTGCAAATTCAGGAGGATATGTGATATCATACATAAATGAGAAGAACAAAGCATAAGCTCATTGTTTTTAAAACCAGACCTTGAATTTGTTGTCTAAATTACATCTCTTAAATATGTCTGGATCATTTATTTAGCTTTCTAGTAGAATCCTCAAAACACGTCACTGGTACTAACTGACTTGCCCTTGGAGACACGTTTAAAAACCATCATTAAATTTATACTCTTAGGACTTACAAGCAATTATTTTTGAGTAACTAAACAATATGAAACAGGTTTATTTTCTCCTCATTGACAAAGTTCTAACCAATATGGCAATATATGGTACTCTCCCATGGAAAGAGAAAGTTTTAATGTCTCTGAGAGGCCAACAGTACAAGGGATGAATATGAATTTCAGCATCCCTTCAGGCTCCCTGAATTTACATCAGTGGGAAGAGGCACAGCAGCTGGCCCGCGGAAGTTCTCGTTCTCAAAGGATTTGCTCAGAGCCAGATGAGGATATATCCAAGAGTCTCCAGGCTGCATAAGGGTTAAGTTCATCTTGGTCTCTGCAGAGCGCCCATACGTACAGCATCCGTAATACCTTGTCCTGGAAATACAAAGACAACAATTTACAAGATTGCATATACAGTGCTCAGAAAAATAAAGGGAACACAAAAATAACACATCCTAGATCTGAATGAATTAAATATTCTTCTGAAATACTTTGTTCTTTACATAGTTGAATGTGCTGACAACAAAATCACAAAAATAAAAAAATGGAAATCAAATTTTTCAACCCATGGAGGTCTGGATTTGGAGTCACACTCAAAATTAAAGTGGAAAAACACACTACAGGCTGATCCAACTTTGATGTAATGTCCTTAAAACAAGTAAAAAAGAGGCTCAGTGGTGTGTGTGGCCTCCACGTGCCTGTATGACCTCTCTACAACGCCTGTGCATGCTCCTGATGAGGTGGTGGATGATCTCCTGAGGGATCTCCACCCAGAACTGGACTAAAGCATCTGCCAACTTCGGGACAGTCTGTGGTGCAACGTGACGTGGATGGAGCGAGACATGATGCCCAAGATGTGCTCAATTGGATTCAGGTCTGGGGAACGGGCGGGCCAGTCCATAGCATCAATGCCTTCGTCTTGCAGGAACTGCTGACACACTCCAGCCACATGAGGTCTAGCATTGTCTTGCATTAGGAGGAACCCAGGGCCAACCGCACCAGCATATGGTCTCACAAGGGATCTGAGGATCTCATCTCGGTACCTAATGGCAGTCAGGCTACCTCTGGCGAGCACATGGGGGGCTGTGCGGCCCCCCAAAGAAATGCCACAACATTACTGACCCACTGCCAAACATGTCATGCTGGAGGATGTTGCAGGCAGCAGAACATTCTCCACGGCGTCTCCAGACTCTGTCACGTCTGTGCTCAGTGTGAACCTGCTTTCATCTGTGAAGAGCACAGGGCACCAGTGGCGAATTTGCCAATCCACCTGTGGACGTCAGGCCCTCATACCACCCTCATGGAGTCTGTTTCTAAACGTTTGAGCAGACACATGCACATTTGTGGCCTGCTGGAGGTCATTTTGCAGGGCTCTGGCAGCGGTCCTGCTGCTGGGTTGTTGCCCTCCGATGGCCTCCTCCACGTCTCCTGATGTACTGGCCTGTCTCCTGGTAGCGCCTCCATGCTCTGGACACTATGCTGACAGACACAGCAAACCTTCTTGCCACAGCTCGCATTAATGTTCCATCCTAGATGAGCTGCACTACCTGAGCCACTTCTGTGGGCTGTAGACTCCGTCTCATGCTACCACTAGAGTGAAAGCACTGCCAGCATTAAAAATTGACCAAAACATCAGCCAGAAAGCATAGGAACTGAGAAGTGGTCTGTGGTCACCACCTGCAGAACCACTCCTTTACTGGGTGTGTCTTGCTAATTGACTATAATTTCCACCTGTTGTCTATCCCATTTGCAGCATGTGAAATTGATTGTCACTCAGTGTTGCTTCCTAAGTGGACAATTTGATTTCACAGAAGTGTGATTGACTTGGAATTACATTGGGTTGTTTAAGTGGTCCCTTTATTTTTTTTAGCAGTGTATACATATATATATATATATATATATATATATATATATATAAAAATTCAAGATTGTGTGCTCTTTAATTGTATATTAAATCATGTAATGAAATTTTAATAAAAGTTGTCCTTTAGAGGACACAAAATTAACAAAATGGACTGTCAAAACAGCAGTCTGCTAGTTTCAGGCCATAAAGATTGTGAGAGTGGGCATATTATTTTTTGCTTTAAAAGACAGAGTAGAGGGGGAAAAAAAAGAGGAGACGGAGCCAAATTTTAACGATAACCTCCAAATGGGGGGTAACCCCTGGGATAAATTGTACTAAAAGAGAGAAAGTAGAGGTAGTAGTAATAAAATATAGAGATAGAGTGGAATACCCTAGGGAGGTGGTCTATTATTCTTAAAACGTCACTTTTAATGGTTAATAATAAAAAGTCCCAAAATGCGGACTAAATTATACTGCAAACTAAACAAACATACACAAAAAAAACATAAAAGCAATAATCAGTCATGATATCCAATAGTCAGTATAAGTTCAGACTGAAATTGTCTGTCGCTGGATAGGAAATACAAGTTTTGTAGTTTACTGATATTTTTGATGGACTATCAGTTGGATCATCAAAAATATCAGTAAACTACAAAACTTATTTCCCCTCTTTTTTGTTCTTTTGTTTGTTTTTGTGTATTTTGTCTTTCCCCTATAATATAGAAACATTGATATCCCTGTCTACTTTAACAAAGATCCAGGGTATATCAAGGTAAGGGGTTAAACTTTTCAGAAAACCTTAATCTGTAAACGTCAGGATTAGAAGCTGTACCAACAGCCCATTGGACCAATTCCAATTTAACTGCTCCAATCAAACCAAAATACCTCCTATTTAAGCCAGCAAAATTCAGTAACCGGCTCCCCTCTGATGAGCTTATAAGCGAAACGCGCGTCAGGGCAACTGGGCACATTTGTATCACCACAGACACATCTCAGTTTTTGCAGTTACAGCTACCACCTATAAATGAATATTATGCCTATATCCTCTCTACTCACTGTGTGTATTGCAAGCTGCCATACCTTTGGCTAATCTCTCTCTTTGTTTCTGCTAACTGGGGGAGGAGGTCTTCACAGGAATTAGCAAGGGAAAGCTTTTTATCTGGGGATAAGGGGTGCCCTCGAAGGCACAGTAGGGATAGACACATCACCCTAAATCCTCTAAACACCGAAACCCGGCTGCTAACATCCCTCCTCCGAAATTAGCTACTACTTGATACACACAGATTTGCACTACCCAAGATACTAAGAGATCCTTTGCAAATATCATTTTAATATTTTGGGGAAATAAACTTCCCTCTATCCGCTATAGATGCATTAACCCTTGAAGCTCTAAGGAGCAATAAATGTATTCCTTCTTTATACCTACACTTGTAACTGTTTGTTACATTTGAACATAGGATCGATATTGTCCGGGATGTTAATTGATTAAAACGAACGAATTAGTCACTATCCCAATAGAGAGTGTAGCTAGTAAACTATTAACCTTCGTATTTCTGAACTGTCACTCTGGCCAGATTATTCTTTCCCTACACCCATGTATGTAACGCTGATTTTGAGATTCGGCACTGCCCGGGAGACCTCTTCATTCCAAGTAACGGACAATTTTATTTACTTGTAAATACCACAATTATCTTTTGGATGATAAGCTTCTCTTTATTAGCTAGAGAGGCATTAACCCTTGAATCTTCAAGTAGTAACAACTATATTCCTCCTTTACACTAACATATGTAACGCCGTCTGTTACATTTGAACATATGATTAATACTGCCAGGGCATAAATTGATTCCAACTACGGACAATTTACTATCCTAATAGAGAATGCAGCTAGAGAGCTATTAATCCTTGGCTCTCTAAGCGGTCGCTTTAGACAAATTATTCATTGCCCGAGTGACAAGTTTATTCCAAACAAACGGACAATTTGCTGTCCAAATTACCAATAAGCCGTTACATTTCTACAGTACCACCTACTAATGGAATTACATAGATGATTACTAATATAGAATTAATGGCACAGCCTGGGGTGATTAGACAACAAATCCTTTCAAGGAACGCGTATGGTGGTTATACAACACAACATCAGACTTTTTGCATTACACATTATATTGGAAACGTTTGGTACTTTACTCTATTGATACAATTTCAGTAACTCTACACTACATTTGGCTACTGTTACGAATGTATAAAACACGTTACCAAGTTCTGGAGAGTGTCTTGTGGTGAATTGCCCCATTGATTATAATACAGCCTTAATATTATCCCTGTGGGCTATTATAATCCACTGAGGCTATAAACACAGATATACCTTGTGTACTCTAATAAATTGAGCCTTCACAAGACTCTGAGGAGTGTTTATTCTAGTTCTAAATATCCAATATTCATTCGACCAACAAAAAACCTGGTGGACAATCTGGGGTCCTATCCAGCGACAGACAATTTCAGTCTATTGGATATCATGACTGACTATTGCTTTTATTAATTTTTTTGTATGTTTGTTTAGTTTGCAGTATAATTTAGTCCGCATTTTTGGACTTTTTATTATTAACCATTAAAAATGACGTTTTAAGAATAATAGACCACCTCCCTAGGGTATTCCACTCTCTATATATTTTATTACTACCTCCACTTTCTCTCTTTTAGTATATATATTTTTTGATTCCAAAAAGCAAATTATTTTTACACCCCTCACAATTTTGTATATATTTTATTATATCTTTTAATGTGACAACACTGAAGAAATGACACACTGCTACAATGTAAAGTAGTAAGTGTACAGCCTGTTTAACAATGTAAATTTGTGTTCCCCTCAATATAACTCAGCACACAGCCATTTATGTCTAAACAGTTGGCAACAAAAGTGAGTACACCCCTAAGTGGAAATGTCCAAATTGGGCCCAAAGTTTTAATATTTGTGTGGCCACCACTGCCTTAACCCTCATGTGCATGGAGTTCACCAGAGCTTCATAGGTTGCCACTGGAGTCTTCTTCCACTTCTCCGTGATGACAGCACAGAGCTGGTGTATGTTAGAGACCTTGCGCTCCCCCACCTTCCGTTAGAGGATGCCCCACAGATGCTTAATAGGGTTTAGGTCTGAAGTCCATGGCCAGTGCATCACTTTGACCTTCCGCTTCTTTAACAAGGCAGTGGTCATCTTAAAGGTGTGTTTGGGGTCGTTATGTTGGAATACTGCCCTGTGGCCCAGTCTCCGAAGGGAGGGTGTCATGCTCTGCTTCAGTATGTCACAGTACATGTTGGCATTCATGGTTCTCTCAATGAACTGTAGCTCCCCAGTGCCGGCAGCACTCATGCAGGCCCAGACCATAACACTCCCACCACTGACTGTAAGCAAGACACACTTGTCTTTGTACTTCTCACCTGGTTGCCGCCACACACGCTTGACACCATCTGAACCAAATAAGTTTATCTTGGTCTCATCGGACCACAGGACATGATTCCAGTAATCCATGTCCATAGTCTGCTTGCCTTCAGCAAACGGTTTGTGGGCTTTCGTGTACATCATCTTTAGAAGAGGCTTCCTTCTGGGACGACAGCACTGGCAGCACTCATATCTATTTACCAAAGACAACCATTGTATATGACGCTGTACCCGTGCACTCAACTTCTCTGGTCGACCATGGTGAGGCCTGTTCTGCATGGAGCCTGTCCTGTGAAACCACTGTATGGTCTTGCCCACCGTGCTGCAGCTCAGTTTCAGGGTCTTGGCAATCTTCTTATAGCCTAGGCCATATTTATGTAGAACAACAATTCTTTTTTTCAGATCTTCAGATAGTTCTTTGCCATGAGGTGCCATGTTGAACTTCCAGTGACCAGTATGAGAGAGTGTGAGAGCAAGAACACCAAATTTTACATACCTGCTACCCATTCACATCTCGGACCTTGTAACACTAATGAGTCACATGACACAGGGGAGGGAAAATGGCTAATTGGGCCCAATTTGGCATTTCCACTTAGGGGTGCGCTCACTTTTGTTGCCAACGGTTTAGACATGGCTATGGGTTGAGTTATTTTGAGGGGACTGAAAATGTACACTGTTATACAGGCTGTACACTTACTACTTTACATTATATATCATAGCCCCCAATCTTACTGTGCATCTATTAGAGATAAATAACTAAAAATAGTCACTTTACTAGTCTGAAAACCATTTTTAGACTTAAGGCCATGCATTCAGTCGTTCTATTCAGATGCTCTGCCGGGTGCTCAGAGCATTCGAGTCCTCTGTGGTTGCTAGATTGTAGGCCAATGTAGTTTGACTCATAGAAGATCCTGTATGGAAGGGGAAGGTAAAGCAGGATTTGCATTTTGCAGAGGGACTGAGAAAAAAAAAATCCCTTCTTTGCTTGATGGAGACTAACGCAGGAGTTGAGAGAAATACAGGTTTAGCTTTCATTTTGCATTGCTCTCTCTAAACAACCCATAATATAAATGTAAACACCGTGAACAACTTATTTATAGAGGAGTCTGGGTCCAAATACCATAACTAACACTTAGGATAACTGAAAAAGGCATATATACACAATACTTACAGGATCTCCTTCTACCACTTCTCCCTTCTGATTTGTGACTACCATAACAAGTTGAGCTTGGAAAGTTATAATAAGCACTGGTCCTTGCTCCATCATCTTTCCCATTGCAAGCTGGAAAGTAATTAACAGGTCAATTTCACATCATTTTCATTACCCTACAAATGCAGGAATGTGAACTTACTCTTATTATCCATTATCAAAATAATATACGCTATTTAATATTTCGCGATTTAACGGTTATATAAAATCACAACGTAGCATCTTAAATATTGTACACTTTGGTTTCCAAATGAAAATAAGATCACTTAGAATTTTTTGTTTCTTCTTTCTTTGTACCGTCTAAAATATTAATAAAAAGACCAATAGTTTGGTGGATACAATGACTAAATTAATACACACAATATTAATCATGAAAAACAATATACTCAGTGTGTTGAGTTGTGTTTTCTAATAATAATTAAGTATTTAACCAGGAAAGATACATTTGGATTACTCTGGTTTTCAAGTACGTCCTGGGGATGTTACCTTAGCCCAACATCCAGGGATGTTAGGTTGTTACCATTACCCAATTTAATGGTACTCATTTTATCTACATCAGAAGGATGAAGCTGTATTGTAATTTTTTAGGATAGTAAGAAAATTAATGGAGTTTATACACCTTTGATAACACCATAATTTTCAGCCTTTTTTCTCTAAAATTTAAATGCACCAAATGGAGATGGCATGTTTGCCAAAAAATATTTAGTTAAACAAATCACTAGAGAATTTATCTTTCTTTTTAAAAAAATAAAATAAAAAAATAAAAATCAGAAATGCAATGAAAGGTGTGCTGGTGCATGAAGGAATCTTCCGATCACCAAAGAGACAAAGAGCAAATGTTGCATAATTCCTCCAATTAATATACTGGAGTAATACTTGTCCTCTAAAAAGACCAAAATTTTATCGAGGGAGGCCAGGCAGTCCAACACCTCACCTTGCCGAAATTTCTTCGATATTATACATGCAATTAATTTTTCTCATAATGACATCAAAGTCTGGCACCATTACTATCCATATCCGTGCCAAACATGAACGTGAAGATGTGAGAATATTACGGCACAATCTCAGACTGGATCTGGTTAGGCTTAAGCCTGAGGGGGAGAGATTCAATATGGCCAGTTTAATCCGATTGTACCATAAACTTAATCGAAAAAGACTAGTCTGGGCAAGCAACGTATCTGCAACCACACGTCTATGGCTGGGAGTTCACCATGATCACAGACCTCTCTAACTTTGTATAAATGGACAATGGGTAAATGTTTTGGGGATGGTTGGGTCTGCAGCTTTAAAATGTTTTGATTTAAACCTGGCTGGGCTGGCTCATGGGACTGCTAACAGACTATCCACACAGAAAGACAAAGCAAATTGAATGAGGGCAATGCAAAGCCCTGTAGTGGAGGACTGTGATGTACACAGTCACCTTTGAATATTTCACAAAGAATAGAGGACGCCAAAACCCAGATACAAAATAAATACCCCAAAAATCATCCAACTGGCAAATAATTGACATATATCTTATATCTTAAACAGTTTAAAAATGTGTTAAGGTTAGGTCAGGTTCAATATACCAAAATAGTGGAAGGCAGATAACATGAAATAGTGGAAGGCAGATAACATGAAATAGTGGAAGGCAGATAACAGGAAAGACCTGTCCCGTGTACCACAGGAAACGAAACGCTTTGAGCTGCATGAGGATTTCCTTTATTCCACTACTCCATCCAGCCATCCTTGGTCAATATAAAGACTTTGGACAATTTAAACAGACTCGGCAGTCCTTTGAGGTTGCAAAACATCAGATCTTCAGTCTCCTTCCCCAGCAGTATCAGGTGGACTAAGTGGCAGATTGTTGTTAACATGCTCGTTTTGCACATATGTTGATATATATGTGTGCCTTTTATCTCTTTTTCTTTTTTTATTATTATTTTTTTGGTAAATAAATTTATTATGCCATAATTTTTATCTTTGCATTTCTCTCACTTTTATTTGCCCATTTTGATGGCGGTTGGGGAATGTATGAATTTATTATCTTGGTTTTGACGCCCTCTATTGTTTGTGTGGTACCTATTTGGGGTCTGTTTGGGGGTTTTCCAAGAGTGGCTGCAATTTTCCAGATTTAAACATTCTATTTCAACACCAGTGCAGCTGTCACATTTTTTGGTGTTTAGTTCCTTTTGAATATCGGTTAGCTTGTTAACAAGGTAGTAGGTATTTTAATGGAATATGGGTTTGTTCTATACTTTAACATGTAACAAACTAAAATCAAAATGGCAAAATGCAGTTTTTAAATATCCAAACTGCAATTTAGAGTGCCTAAATAACTGTATTAAAGGACCACGCTAGGCACCCAGACCACTTCAGCTTAATGAAGTGGTCTGGGTGCCAGGTCCCTCTAGGATTAACCCTTTTTTTATAAACATAGCAGTTTCAGAGAAACTGCTATGTTTATACTGAGGGTTAATCCAGCCTCCAGAGCCTCTAGTGGCTGTCTCATTGACAGCCGCTAGAGGCGTTTGCGTGCTTCTCACTGTGAAAACCACAGTGAGAAGATGCCAGCGTCCATAGGAAAGCATTATGAATGCTTTCCTATGAGACAGGCTGAATGCGCGTGCAGCTCCTGACGCGCATGCGCATTCAGCTGAAGGGGAGGAGAGGAGGCGGAGAGGAGGAGGAGAGCTCCCCGCTCGGCGCTGGAAAAAAAGGTAAGTTTTAACCCTTTCCTCTCCCATCCAGCCCGGTGGGAGGGGGTCCCTGAGGGTGGGGGGAAGCTAAAGACCCTATAGTACCAGGAAAACGAGTATGTTTTCCTGGCACTATAGTGTTCCTTTAACTGTTCTAAATAACACATACATTGAATCCTTTAAATTACAGCAACTATGTCCCCAACAAAGGTTTAATCATCCGCAAAGTCCAGAACAGTGATGGAGAAACTAAAAGATAAGTCACTGCATTTAACAAACATTTTATGTAAAACTATTTTAGACAAGGTTTACTAGAAATGTTGATGCTAACTTTGTAGTCATGGCTACTTAAATGTTCATTCCACTTTCTTTTTTGACCTTCTTGGAAGTTCAGAAGTTTTCTTAAGGACATATACTGCAGTTGTTTACAAGCTCAGAGTATCGTACACCCAGCTGTTCTGCACCCCAAAACCTTTATCTGTACGACGTTATATTCCAGCAAATGCAAAGACTCAGACAATAAAGTAACAGTATTACAGTACATAAAAAACTACTTAATAAACAAAATATATAACTTATGACAAATATTGTAAATATTGCAAACAAGCAGCAATTTGTTTAGGTCATTATTAGTGATGTCGCGAACCGTTCGTGGCGAACTCCGGTCAGCTGACACATCCCTGCCAATCTCCGACAGACCCTCCCACCTCCTGGACAGCATCCATGTTGAAGCTGCCTTCAACATGGATGCTGTCCAGGAAGTAGGAGGGTGTGGGAGGGAGGGTCTGCCAGAGATTGGCAGGGATGTGTCAGCTGACCGGAGTTCGCCACGAACCGTTCGCAGCAAGTTCGCGACATCACTAGTCATTATTATAACAGATACTTTAGAATGCGGTTAAAAAATAGCTACTCACATCGAGATTGTCAATATCCAGAATCCTAGAGCGGAATTGGAGACCCATAGCTTTGGCCTGCTGGATGGGGTGCGCCATCTGACTATACGTCTAAAATAAAGAGAAGGCTTGGTATCTCTCCATACAAATCAGGATCACAAAGCTTGACTGTGGTAGCTCTGACTTTTGTCAAGTTAGGAATTTTCCACAAGAAAAAGTAGTCCCTAAATTGTCTAATGAAAGCTTTTGACTCCATTAAAATTTCAATAAAATTCCAAAACAGTCTTTATGAGCATTTCATAAAAACTGTATATTTATAAAATGCTAAAAAAACTAAAATTTTAAATTAAATAGAAATGTTTGACAGAGCCACTAAAATAAATGGGGATGCTATGCGAAAGTAAAAAAGAAATGGGGGTGCTGAGAAGTTTATTTGTCATGCAACCATTTAAGGGATACTTGGGCTGATAGCAAATATTAGTTTGGGAGACAGGTTCATGATCTAAAACCTGGGTCAAGCTTGCCACAGACAGTAGCAGGTAGAGGAGTCAGAAATAGCTCCATTAGGAGAAAGCCACTGCTCAGGGCAGGGGCATGTTTGGAAAGCATGCCTTACATAACTTATTCAAATGATGTGTGAAAGCATGTCTTAATGGACTGAGCAAAATTTGATGCTAGCTGCCCCTGAAACGGGATTTAACATGGCACACGTCTAATCACTCTATTTTCCGTTCATTGCTGTAATTGCCTAAATAATTGATTAGTAGCCAAATTATATGACAACCACTTAATTTCTGGAGATACTTCAAAGCAATTAAATCAAATTAAAATCCGTACACCTAGGGGTTAAAAACAAATGAGCTACGATACGGTTCATGATCACTATAAAAGAGGAATTGCGATTGGCTTTTATATTGATTGCACTGACTCAGCATTTGCTGCTGGATTACGAGAAAGTCAAGCTCCACTGCCTGCCAATAGTGGCTTGTAAAGGGGCAGGGCTCAAAACTTCCACGTGCCACTAGCCATTGGCAAACGGAAATTTAGCTTTGGTGAATAGAAATTCATCCCTGGCCAATGTAACAGGGAATATCAAGGCTTGCAGTGGCTATGGTGTCTAAGTCCAGGCTAGTAGCATAGGATTTGAAAAGGAGTAAAACAGGGTATTGAACTAATAGTATGTACAGACTGTCAGTGCAATTGTACTGACACTTCATTTGTCATATTGTTTTAAAAATATATATATATATATATATATATATATATACACACACGCACAACATATGATAAGGAAGGTTTCTCTTGAATATAGAAAATGTGCTACTTACTGCTTCATAACACCAGTCTTTCAGGACATCAAGGTCACCTCTTATCATGGCCTATGAACCAAGAAAGAATCAAGGGTTAGTGTAACAATAATACACATAACAGTAATTCACAGCAGAAAACATGACGTAACTTTAAACAGAGTAAACATGAAGCATGTGTCCTAACCTATAATTGTAATAATAATGTAATAAAACGTATGTTTGTAGCTGGAATCATTGACGAATTCCAATTAAAAAAAATGTAGGTTCTGGAATAACACTCTGTACTATTCACTTCTCTGGCTATTATGAAGTTGTCACATGTGATTAAAATAGCCCGTGAAGGATAAGATATTTCGGCTTAAAATAAAATAAAATAAAATTTTAATAAATAAATGCTGTGCATAATGACGAATGATAAGACTATAGATATACCTCCAGGATGTTGGGGATAATATCTCTCTCACACAGTTTTAAAAACGTATCCTTGTCGAAGCTTGGGTCGGCTTTCAGAATCTCTGTTAGGACCTCAGACATTTCGGTTTTAGAAAATAGACCACCTATAAGAAAACAAATTTATCAAAGAAAATAAATGACGAAAACAAGAAAGAATCATAAGAATACCCAGCTGACAAATCAGAGGAAATTTATCACAGAACACAGACACTTTTCATTCCAATGTTCAGTGAATTTTTGGTGCAATCTATATAATCTGTTGGATTTTTTCATCTATTGTCTTTTTGCACCTGAACTGTAATTTTTTTTTAACATACTCCATTCTTGGAATATATGCCGTTTTCTCGGACAGAGAAGTGCAGGATTTTTTTCCACCACTAAAAATCTGGTGTTCTTTTGAAATAGAAATTTCTTTGAAAACTTGAGGAATTTACCAAGACCAACTTCACTTTTTAACTGCCACTATCACTTTAACTAATATGCCCCATCCACCCTGAAATGCTTTTACAGGAAAGGGCTGATTCTAACCAACACAACACCAAACTAAATCCCACACCTATATTTGGCTGTTGGTTTATGGTCCTGCTCCGATTTGGCTGCCCTGCACAGTTTCTGCCCACCACCGGAGAGAAGGGGCAAAGTCTCAGAGCCAGAGAATGAAGTATGATGGTTTCGTGAGAGCTACTTTTCAGGGCTGTACATATGGGGATTCAAAGCAAATGTAGGATATTTGATGTATCTTTCAATCAAAGGTTTATTCCATCCTAAGCTTTTAGAAGTCTTTCCGGAGCAAGCAATTTGTATGTGCAGTTGTACAACTTGAAAACCCTGCCTATGCAGAGACATTAGTCTAGTTGCATCCCAACATACATGACTTAGGAAGGCCGAAAATCTGTTCTGAACTGCCTAATGCAAGTCCTGTGCAAACACTTTGTCCATTGTCAGCATATACTGCACAATGGACATAATCACATTTGTAGGCTGTGCTGCAAGCAAAGCCAACTAAATGACTACTGTAAAATTGGTCTCCTTCCTTCTTCTCTTATGCAAGCCCTCCCCATCTCTCTGTATGATTTTTCATTTGTCTGTACCTTTTTTCTTGGTCCCCTTCCTTCCTAATGCAAGCCATGCCAGTCCTCTGTGCCTCCATACCTGTGCACACTCTATCCCCTTCTTGGTGCAGAGCACTGCCTTGGCGGTGTGTATGGAATCAAGAGGTGGACAGGCTTTAGTGGTGAGATAAGACTCAGCTAATCACGCCACTTATGAATGCATGAACTATGCACATTCTAATAGAGAAGCATTGGATTCAAAGATTCATCAGAAAAAACAGAATGGCACATTTGTAGCTCATGTGCCCAAGGTCCAGCAATGCTTCTCTAAAGGAAGCATTTGATTTGTAGAATGACCCGGAAGAGGATGATGTGACGACAGAGGAGTGGAAATCGTCAGAAAGAACTTTTCCAGGTAAATTGTAAGCTCTTTTAAAATGTTATCTGGGCCAAAAATTGGAGTGTCGGGACCTTAAAGTGTCATAACCACTACATTACCCTGGCCAGTTCCCCTGTAATGGGAATCATGTTTGAGAGAGGCCCTGCATGGCCAGTGTTACTTTTTTCTTTGGCAACTTAAAAAAAGGATCTTTAGGTTTAAAGATTTGTGCTCGACATTTCTATTTCTCCCCTGTAATGGGGCACTCCATTAATTAACAGAACTAGAGAAGCTGGAAGCTGATATAGTCACCATTCATTGGCTGAGAGCGTCAGCTGACCACTCACAGCCGGTGAATGACACTGTGCAAAAATATTTGCACATAATTGACATTAGCCAATCCAGCACTGTTTGGCTAATAACGACCTTATGACAATGACGACTGTACTGATGTGCTCTTTGGGCAAGAATACATTTTAAACGATACATTTGACTATACTGAACTGACTAAAGGTTTATCTACCTTAAAGTGAACTAGTCAGCCACACATGTTGCTGTAAAGGTTTCACTTTAAAATCCCTGTATCGCACTAACTGTAGGGAAAAGCAAACTATGTTGTTGTGGACTGGAACTTCCCTAATGCATATACAATATACAAATGTATTACAAGGGAGTGTATGTATATATATATATATATATATATATATAATGTGACGAGACCAATCTTGCCACTGTGCATTGGAGGAGTCTGGTTGCCTGCGTGCTGCCTTTTGACTATGGACTGGCATTTAAATACTTTATTTTCCTATGCAGAAAGGTCTATTCATGTATTTCTGCCCGGGCGTTCGGTAGATTCTAACTACCGAACAAACAGCAGTCTATTGGCCTCCCAGGAGCCACAGTTAGCTGGCAGGCGCTGTTAATTGACCGCCCAGAAGGCGGCGAGCGCCGCCAATTGACCGCCCAGAACCCACTGTTAGCCGCGGCTTAACGAGCGTGTGCCGTCAATTGACCACACAGTAGCTGCGGTTAACCGCAGCTTAATTGACTATACCAGGTGGCCGCGGCTATGCATACTGAACACTGGATGGCAGCAGTCTGCTGTTCACACGCGGCCGGTTCATTCACGGATTCACTGAATGAACTCATTTAACCCAGACAGCTATGCCATGGAGCCTATTCGTGTAATAAAAGACTTTGGCTCCATGGCAATTGAACTATATGTGTGTGGTCTAAGCGCCATTCAGTAATAATGTGCACTCAGACCTAAGCTATCTGGTGATATGTTGCATGTCTGTATTTTATGTAATAAATGTAACCTTGTGTATTTTATTGTATTTTACTGTCTTTTTACTGCCATGTGCTTAATGGAGTTTTGCCTCTGTCCTTGGAGATAATTGGATTACTTCCCAATTATCTCCAGGATAGAGAGGAGGGACTGTGATGTCATTGTGGGAGTGTTTGACTGTGTATGTATGTGATTGGCTACTGTATCCTTTTGGTCACACAGTCTTCCATCTGGTCCCCTAGGGGAGTGTCCACCAGGTGGGAGACCTGCATAAATACTGGGCAGGTAGCCCTGAATAAAGGAGATCACTGCTTGATCCTCAACATGGAGCCTTGTCTCGTTCTTGGGGGGATTTACTGTATGCTTTTAGAGACTGATTGCAAGGAGTGTAAGCCGCTTGGGTGCTTTTCCTGTTCAGCTGCTAGCAGCTATTCTTGAGGTTTCAGTTCGGGAGTTTGGAGTGCTACTTTGTATCCTGTTTGGGAGTTTGGGGTTCTGCGGTAGCTGTGCCTGTGTCTCTGGAAGGGGAAGATCTTCTAAACGGCGGTTTAACCCCTGGGGGTGCCATTAAAAAAAAAAATATATATATATATATATATATATATATACAGTGCTGCAGATTAATAAGGGCAGTACTGCAAGCAATTAATAGTAAGTCCAGGGAGTGCACATTTCGATTTTTGGTTTTGTGTATATGACAGAAGTTGCACTATGGCAATAAATATACTGAGATGTCAAGTGCAGAGCGAGCGAACGAACAAACGAACACACACACACCATTTGTATACAATTTTACCTATGAGGTCACTGACTTTGTCGGTAATGGTACGTGATGCTCTAATAAAAGCGTTATCACTCTCATCGTACTTCATTTTCATCTCAAAGAATCCTGTTTGTAACAGAAAAATATAGCTGTAATTTACAAAAACAAATACTGAAATTATATCACATGGAATGCAGACAAGGAAAGCAACACTTGCCATTTGCCAATTTCTCTATTAATTCACATTCAATTAATTTAAATGTTGGGAAAATTGCCAAATTGGAAACATTCTCCAAGTCAGCTATGATCCCAGCTCCGCTACTTTGGCATAAAAATTTCAAATTCACTTTGAATTCCCAACAATTCTCACTTTGTAAACAAATCTAAAGGTTCTAAATGAAGACTTGAGATATATATCTAAATAGGCTTCCAACATACTGTATAGCAGACAAACAGTTCACATTTTAAAGTAAGGAAACAATCATAAAACTGTATATTGAATTATGTACAAACTGTACATTTCTCTGGTATCAGATGAGATTTTCAGTTTTATTTACTAAAGTGAGAATTCAAAGTGAAAGGCCAAAGTAGCTGAAGTAGTGCATAGCGGATTTAGATATTTCTTTTTTTTTTTATCTGGCTATTTTGACCTTAAATTTAAAATTCACTTTACATTCACACTGAATTCTCACTTTAGTTAATAACCCTGACGCTGGACTTCCCCATGCATAGCGTGAAAACGCCCAGCGTCAGGTGACCAAAAGTCGCCTATCCACCCGGAGGTCCTTCTAGTGACTGTCTGATAGACTGCCACTAGAGTTGGTGTTAACCCTATGCAGGTAATTATTGCAGTTTCTTAAAAACTGCAATAATTACCTGCTGAGGATTAAGGGACATGGGACACTGTACCCAGACAACTTCAATGACCTGAAGTGGTCTGGGTGCCTATAGTGTCTCTTTAAAGTCTACAGATAACAATTTTCAAACATTTTCCTAAGCAGGTAATTATTGCAATTTTTTAAAAAACTGCAATAATTACCTGCTAGGGTTAACACCAACTCTAGTGGCAGTCTATCAGTCACTAGAGGGACCTCCGGGTGCATAGGTGACTTTTGGTCACCTGACGCTGGGCGTTTTCACACTATGCATGGGGACGTCCAGCGTCACCAAAATTCTCAGAAAAGCATTGAATAATGGCCATTGCCACACATGCACATTAGGTCTCCGCCGCCGAGAAAAGGCGGAGCCGAGCCCAGGACACAGGTAAGTGACAGAAGGGATTTGGGGGGGGGGGGAGCTTGATGAAAGGTGAGGCTATAGTGCCAGGAAAGCGAGTTTGTTTTCCTGGCAGTATGGTTCCCCTTTAAGTGCCAATTTCCAGGTTTTCGAAAAGGTAAGTTGTTGTAAGGATGGATCAGTGTTTCCAAATTAGAAAGGTACAGACACCACTGAACAAGGATCGTGTTTGCATAATATGAAATCTAAATTTTAATTCAACAGCATCAATAAACAGACAATTATTATTATTTTTTTACTCTTTCCCACTATTAAGTAGATAATGTTTAATACGAGATGGTCCAATGTCATGGTAAAAAAAAAAAAAAATACACTTAAAGATAATATATAGTATATAAAATGTACACAGTCTTTAAAGAATCACCAGTTCAATATATAATGCACATTAAAACCAGGAACTCTAAATAAAATATTAAGAACTTATTATGCTTGACTAAATATGTACTTTTAATCAGACTTAACAGTGCATGTAACCTATCACTGCCTCTAAATGTTCAACAGATAATAAAGTAGTAAAGTTCACATTGTCCCTGTGACAGGTTAGGGTTTGGGCTTCATGTTCCAGGAGAGCCCCTGCACTTGAAAAAGATTTGACAAAAAAAAAAGGGGGGGACAGCACTCAAAGGCTGTTTGCACCATGACCTCCACAAAAGTTGTATGGTGCTTAGAGTGTCCTTTTAAACCACCAAGAAAAGAGTTCACTACTGACGAGGAGACCCAGGGGACCTGGCGCACAACCACAGCTATCAAATTTCCATGTAGTAGCATTATCCTGATTACATTTTGTTGTACTTACTATTAAATACTACATTGTTGTCCTTGAAATCTTTCCATTGTTGGAACCACTTTGAATCCTTATGGAGCACCACACCCATAGCTTCTCTGTAAAAGTTACCATATGAACAGCACAATTAGATCCCTGTAAAAAGACTGTTAGATGAAACATGAATGAAATATGTTGCAAGGTGTTAAAGGGACACTATAGTCACCAAAACAACTTTAGCTTAATGTATAGATCAAGCAGTCTCACTGCTCAATTCTCTGCCAATTAGGAGTTAAATTACTATGTTTATGAAGCCCTAGTCACACCTCCCTGCATGTACACAGCCTTCCTAAACACTTCCCGCAAAGAGAGATCTAATGTTTAAAACTTCCCTTATTGCACATTCCGTTTAATTTTGAATTTATTTTCTCCTACTCTAGCCGTCTAGAACCTGTATGAGCCTCCTGTGCATGAATAAAGCAAAATTTTTAGAGCAGGATAAAAAGATTTCTACAGCAAGTTAACATCACACTGAAAATGACTTTTTTTTAATGCAGACTGTGTGAGTCACAGCCAAGGGAGGAATGGCTAGGGTTGCATGGACAGAAACAATAGTGATTTAACTCCTAAATGGCAGAGAATTGAGCAGTGAGATTGCAGGGGCATGATCTTTACACAAAAAACGCTTCATTAAGCTAAAGCTGTTTTGATGCCTATAGTGTCTCTTTAATTACGGAGCAAAAATCTAAAAAAAAAAAAAAAATCTGATTTGTTTGTGGAAATGTGTTCTTTCAAAAACATAGAGTAGTCACTGTGCTACCCTAATGCATCAATTAAGCCTTAATGAAAATTACTCTATGTTTTAAATGACCAGCAATATATCTTAAAAAGAACACTATGATTAGAAATGCATACATTTATTGTTGCATAGTCTATTTAGATTGTGAGACCCACCCCTTAAAACGAAGAGATCCTTTATCTGTAATTTAGCAGCGAGATGGGGTGGCCAGATTGATTTTTGTGTTAGGGATGTTCTTTTATCTTTTTATCTACCTATCATAACACTACTTATTTGTAACTCAAGATATTTAATGCTCACTACATCCACTTTGTTGTGCTTGAATAAAGGTTTAGGTTATATTTGCAATGCACCGCCTAAGAAATATACGATAACCTATATACTGTAACAGGAAAGCCCTAAATGTACACCAGGCGTGTCAAAATAAACTAGGTTTAAGTTTATGTGGGCCTCAAAAAAAGTCAGTTTTCATAGAAACATAGGTTTATTTAGAAAAGTACAGTATAAATATAGTTGCCTAACAACAGTGGACATCCTCATGCTCCCACGACTTCAAAGTAAACAAAATAGCGAATTTAGTTTAAGGAAACGTGCATTTGCATATAACCATTGTTTCAGTCCAACTACCTTGAAATATTAAGAAAAGTTTGGTAATGGGACTGAAATGGTGAATGTATGCTGCTGCACAGCTGTAAAACACAAATTATGTTATCTTGTTGATATTTGAAGTCCTATGAGGGTGTTCTGCACTTTGGCTGAGATCATCAAACTTGATGATCTCAGCCAATCCAATGCTTTCCCATAGGAAAGCATTGAGAGGCAAAACTCTGCACGGTCAATCAGCATCTCCATGGCGAGCGTTCAGCCTCCATGCAGACCCATTCTAATTCACTGCCCCTCCCCCATTCTAATACACTGCCTCCTTCAATCCCCAAACTAATACACAGCCTTCTGTGCCCCCTGCTATCAGGAGGAAAGGGGGAGTTGCTGGCCTGCTCTCCAGACAGCCATGCACCCTGTGCACAGTAGCGTCGCCATTGCACACCCGCCGGATATCTTCACACGCTGTATGCACATATCAGGCGGCCAGCATGAACTAATGCTTAGCGATTTTTGCGGCCGTCGAAGCACTGTCGCCCGTGGCAGGGCAGACAGGAAACAGACAGAAGAAAATATCTTTCCTGTCTTGCGGCTGGTCGCAAGCAGCAGCACAAAGTGGCCCCAGGGCAGATGAGCCACAAAGATACTCACTGTGAGCCGCAAGTTTGACATGCTTGATGTACACAGTTTTTTCACAAACAAATGTGGCCACATGGATAATACAATTCTACCTACATATTTTGTGAGTTTAACTGGCAGAAAATAATATATATATATATATATATACACATATACACACACTCTACAAGGTCTCTGCTTGTAAATGCTGTTGTGGCTTTTCAAGCTGTTTGTTACCACTTGCACACTATAAATAAAGAATATAAAAAATAAACACTCTACATGCATTAATTTTCAAACATACATAGTAATTTGGTGCAAGAGCAAATTGCTACTGCATCTTTACAAAAAAAAAAATTTAAAAGCCCAGATCCCCAGCTGTAGCAGAACTACAAGGAGACATCTGACTGCTATTTTGGGGTCAAGAAGGAATTTTTTCCTAGTTTGTGGCAAAATTGGAAGCACTTCAGACTAGGTTTTTTTGCCTTCTTTTGGATCAACAGCAAAAAACAAATGTGAGGAAGGCTGAACTTGATGGACGCAAGTCTCTTTTCAGCTATGTAACTATGTAACTCCCTTGATGCATTAAGATCTATTTCTGGCTAACAATGATTTAAGTTAAGGTAATTGAGCCTTGCAAAGAATTCATTACATTTCTGCATTTACATGTCGTAGATGTAAGTAAAAGGTGGTTAAGATAAATTAATACAGACTCATTGGCTTCAAATATCTTGTCTTCTTTGGTTCTGTCACCAGAGAATTCACTTCTCTTTCTTAACTTAGAAGGGGCTCGATAAGGACCAGTCTCTCCAAGAACACTTTCATCGATTTCCTTCTTAACAGTCTCCACTCCCTATAAAGAATACAGTCATAAATAACTTTACCAAAATCTAACAACTTATATTGCTTGTAAACAGGCCATTCATTGTGCTCCATGCACAGTGTTACATTGATACACAAACTACACACATAGACTCTGGCATTCACACCCAATAACAATCTACAAAAATACACCAACAAATTCATTCTTTCAACCATTCACACAAACATAATCCTGCATTCTCATGCTGACACTCCACATCAGTACATGCCTGCTGTCACACAAATTAATACTTCACAGACGCACACACCACTATGCTGCTCCACTCACATAAACTAACCTGTAACACCAATTCACCCTTAAATCCCACACACACGGTATTCTTGCACCCTTGCATTCAGACACAAACTATGCAAATTCACCTTTTCACATTCACATTTTTACAATACCCACACCAAGCTAGCATGGAGCAAGGAATTATACAGGAACATAGAATGAGGTGAATAACAGATACTAGCTGGATGCATAGAAAACACAGGAAGCAGAATAAGTGTAAATGGAAATTGTCCTTTTGCAGAAAGCTTTGTATACTGAGGTTTGCATATCTGTACACAGAACTGTAATAACTGTGTGCGTGTTAACCGCACTTGTTCACATATCAGGTGGGATAGTATAGATTTAACTCTGAGTAATTGGCCGGATACAAGCCATATTCTGAAATAGTGTTCGAGGGGAGATTAAAGTGATTATTTATAGTATCTGGTGTCGTTTATATGCACATAGTGATCTATGTTATCAAATTGTAAGACCTCTGGAACTCAGTTTAAATAGTGTTTACCCAGGGTAAAGGACAGTGTTGTAGAGTACGATTCCTGTATGTACAGCAGTTCGGAGGTTGTACATCCTGTGGATTTACTTACATTCCCATGCTTATAATTATTAGTATTCTGTGTTCACACACTAGAAAACTAAAAGGGATTCATGACTCCTTGTGAACAAGGAAATAGATCACATGGGAAGCATTTACAAGAATCAATGGGGGTCACAGACAACTCAACAGCTCCAATCTTTTTTTGTCAATATTTGTTTTATTGAGACTTTGCGATAAACATGAAATATTCACATCATGAATGGAAATATAGATGATTGTTGCAGGTTAAAACATTCAACTGTGGTATGCCTCATTTATTTTATTATTTTTCTTCGTGTGTGGCTGTGGGAGTGTGCAGTGTGTTTGGTAGTATGTAGTCTTGTTGGGTGCGGGTACCACATGCGTGACTGGTGTGTCATGTTGGTTGTCATATTGGGTTAGGATGTTATCTGACCTTCCTGCGCTGACCGTGTGCCGTAGTCTCAGGTGATTAAGTCAGGTTCATTCGTTGTGTGGCACCGTCACTAGTGTGGTTGAGCCCAGTCGCTTCATTTAGTGAGTGAGATACCCCTAACCAAGGGGGTAGACGGGGGGGATGGGGCTTAGCTTAATGTGTACTTTGCGTGTCGTCTGGGGGAATATTAGCTTAGGGGATAACTTAGGCTTTGGTGGCCCATAGGTATTTAACTGTATGGTAAGGCACTTTAACAAAGCGGCGGCGGAATTAATGCTACGATAGGGAAGTTAAACATAAGAAGAATAAACATTTAGGAGCAAGATAGCATTAGTCGTAGTAGTGTATCAGGTCGCTGCAGCCAGTTATGCTCTCCCTTCAGGCGCGCAGTGTTTCTGTCTAGTCGGAGCCTGGATTTGAGTGTCAGAGGAAGTGTTGGGCTCATCCGGGGGGGGTGCTCAGTCCCAGTGCCTGAAGGAATGCTGCGGCATCAGTTATAGAAGTGAGCCTGAGAGTTCTGCCATCTGCTGTGCTAGTCGTCAGTGCCCTAGGTAGTAGCCATCGCTATTCCACTTTGGCTTCCCTTAGCCGGCTTGTGACCGCTCCTAGTGATTTCCGCCATTTTAATGTGTTTCTAGAAAGGTCCTGGTAGAATGTCGGTTTGGATGCCTCAAAGTCCATGGGTGTTTTGCCCTTCACCGCAGCCAGGAGGCGGTTCCGGTCTGACACCGTGGCAGCGTATAATTATGTTGTGGGTGGCCTCAGTTGGGGCCAGTTTAGATTTATTTATTCTGTAGCAGCCGTCAAACTGGATAGTTTTAGCCTGGGAGTGTGGTAGGAGTGTTTCCACCAGACGCCGTAGGTATTGTGGCAATTCCAACTGGCTAATTGAGTCTGGGACACCTCGGACTTTGTTACGGTCCTCTGTAACATCTACCCTCTGTGTCATGGATGTATGCGAGTGATGGAGGCCTTGCATTTGATCCCTCAAGTCCCGTACCTCTCTCCTGAGCTCCAGCACTGCATCCTCTGTGGCTTGTGTACGAGCCTTTACCGCCTGCACATCGGTGCGGACCACAGCTATTTCTGCCGCTGACATTTGTCGCAGCTCCCTGAGGAGGTTGACAATGTCCTGTTTGGTAGCAGGAGCTAGTGGGTCTTGGTCTGTCAGTTCCTCTTGGGACGTCGTGGGTGTACTGGCGTTTACGGTGGAATTTAATTATGCAGTGAGGTCAGCACTTTGTGTTCCCGTGTCTGGCCGGGCCGCCATTTTAGGGGCCATTGGGCGCTGCAGCATATCCTGGGAGTGTTTGCAGGGGTCAGGCTGCTGTTTCTGGCTTCTACGTCCCATGATGTCTCTGTGCTATAGGGATTCAACAGGCCTCCAGGAGGAACTGCACAGTCTTCCAGCTCAGCCTCGAGGTCCTGTGCGGCAGCCCGCGTGGTAGTGTATCTGAGGTAGGCCCCGGATTTGCGGCGAGCTTTCTTGCCCGATTTCGGGTACATAAAAAGGCATATGCCCGTAGCTCACCCCTTCCAGAGGGTGTTGGTTTGTGTTAGGGGATCCGATGGCCGCGGGGTACCCCTCTTTGTGGTGGTTTTGGCGGTCGGTGTCCGTTCCCCATTGGCATTAGGCCCCGCCCCCTCAACAGCTCCAATTGGACCGATTTGCTAGTGGACAAAACTATTGTTTCCAGAGGCGTAAACTAAAAGATAAACTTAAGGAAATCCAGGGTAGCTACAATATGCAGTTTCTATCGTGTATTTAGAGGTTACATTATTTAAAGATTGTTTTATTTTTATGTCACAAGTAACTGCTTTGGGAAAATTACAGGTTTCCACGGATGCAGAGCCTGTTTAGGGATGTATTCTATTACCTTATTATTGGGTTTTCTGGTATAGTATTCTGCATTAGCAGGTACCGTGTATCATGTTTTTAATATATTTATTATAGTGTTTAAATATGCAGGTATGGTCTTAAGACAGACGATATGTTGCTGCTCTCATGGACTGAGTGAATGAATAATTGTTTCAGAACACATGTTCTTTTTCAAGTTCTGTTCCACAGACTGATAATATGTTATTGAGTGAAGAAATATTATAATTTGTAGTAAGACTTTTAATGCCAGAATGGGCTGGACATCGTTACTTTTCTGACATCATATTAAAGACGGCCATAACAGAATTCCCCTTATGCTTGAGAAAGCCCCGAGAGGCGGGGAGCGAAACGCATAACACAGCCGAACCCAGAAGTACCTGCACGTATACAGAGAGACGACAATCAGCTGGGAGATACCCTGAGACGGAACTCGGACTGTTTGTGTAACAACACCCAGGACTATCCCTTTTACTTTTATATTTGTTTTTTGTGAATAAAGTATTTTACTTCACATCTTCGGCTGATGGTGAGCTTGTGTGATTATCCACGTTTGGATCCTCCCTGTGCCTGATAGTCTAGTGGTACTATAACCACTCCACAATTGTGAGTTTAATTATTAAAGAGTACCACATAATAGACTGTATCTTGACAATATACACTAGGTCTGTGTTTTAAATATTTTTCTAGATCTGTGAGACCTACAAATAAAGAAGAGTGCAAGTATATATTTGTTTGTCACATAATTATTCCTACTCTATCAAAGTGTGGTTCTCACTCTGGTTTTACAAATATCTTTCTTACATATATACCATAAACTCTTGGTTCCCAAGGCCACAATTTCTGGTTGTATATATGTATTCGATACATAAACAAGTTTTTGCAAAGGATGGGATTTCTGCATCATGGTGGCACATACAATGTTAGTAAGTAGTTATATGATTGGAAGTTGGGAAGCTATCACGCATGCCAAGCCCTATAAAAGGAAAACGTCAAGCACCATAACAACTACAACTGTACTGGTTATGGTGTCAGGAAAGAGCTGGTGTTTCACCACTGTAAGTAGTTAAACCTTACCTGAGAGATTGCTTTAAAGGCAGCTGACTTGCCAAGTTTTTCTCCTCCTTTGGTCACCGATTCAGCCGAATGTTTGGCGCTTTTTGTCGCTTCTTCTACCCCTTCCCGGATTTTACGTCCAAGGTCACTCTTGCTGACTTCATCCAAGCTCTGCACAAACAAATACAAAAGAGCCACCTCAACAGCTTACACCATACAAATATAACAACACCATGTAGGACATTACTAGAATTACCAATCTCGTTTATTTTGCAAACTAATCCTTTAGGCATGTAAAAGCCAAAACCTGTTTAAGATCTGAGCAGGAACTAACCAAAGGGTAACCTACTGAGTTTCTGTTCAATTTCAGTGTTGTCACACAATTTCCTTGTTTTTGGTTTCAAGCATTTACTCAGATCTCCCCAAATTAAAGGATAATCCAGATCCTTTGCTCACAATAACAAGAGTTCTAAGCTATATCTCACTGATGATGCCCAAAGAGGGATGAAACAACTGTCATGTGTGACTGCATCTTTTGTGCAGCGGAAACATGCTAGTATTTTTGATTATGGATGGGGTTAGTCTGATGCAAAATAAAAATTTTCTCGCTCTGTAATGGGAAATGTGAGCAAATACTTATTTGAGACCAGAGGACCACTGTCCATTTTCTCATACATCTTTTTTTTGTGTTATTTTTCGTTTGTTTGTAATCCTTCTTTATCGGATACTTTACCAGCACCGGAAACCGATTAACCATCATTTAGACATTATAAAACAAAAGGACGAAAGTGGATATTTATCTGATCCCTAAATGTACAATCTAAGAAGCATAACTACTGCAGCTTTTTGTAGTGGTTATGAAGCCTTGAATGTCTTTTTGTTAAGAACGATAAAATGTCAATACATAGTTAGATACAGGAGAACTTGTGTGGTTGTTTCTCTATGGCAGGGACAAGCAACCTTCGGCACTACAGATGTTATGGACTACATCTCCTATGGTGCTTACCAGCTTTATAGGAGATGAAGGTTGCCTAACTCTGCTCTATGGGATTTACCAAGATGGCTAAACTAACCATTCATTGCTGTATACCTTTGACAAAAGTTGGAAGCGCTTTAAAGGAAAAATATGGAACAATGTTAAAAAACGATATATGGTTTTAATGTTTTGCATGTTCCTTTACAACTCTAAATGCTAGGCGCTTGCCCCCCCCCACCGGACTTCTCCCCCAAAAATAAAGATTTAAAAAAATTCTCATGGGGCATGTCCTCTGCTGCTGCTGCTTCTCTCCCACTCATTAGGAGTCTGCCTAATTCTGCTGCCGAAATTGGTGCATGTGAAAAAATAGGAACGCTTCTCATAGGGAAGCATCAGGATAACGCTTCTCAATGTAAGCTCTCCCTTCTGTTTGAAGATCATTAAAGCAGAGTGAATCAGAAATCCCTACTGGTTGTCAGATGGACGGTCCTGGGGAGCCTTTCTAAACCAATAGGAACTGATGGGAGGAGGGGGCATTCCTAAACCAACTGACAAATGTGTAGATTTCTCTTAAAATCTTGCCACTTTTTATTCACAATACGGGTTATTGAAGTTAATGGTTTACCTCTTTAACAGTGTCTGACAGCTCCTCAAATTTCTTTTTGAACACCTCAGACGTCTTCATTGTTTCTGATTCAATTGTTTTCTGTCACAAGGAAAAAAAAAAGTGTAAAAAGTTTTGATGGTATCAGGCAGTAAGCTAGCCCCGCACAGGGCTTAGCTCAGGAGAACTAACTGAAGCTGTTAAATAGGAGCGCCTCGCTATCTTGGCTGCAGAGAGAATGTTGGAAAGTGTCTGACTACTTACAATGTGGGTGGGACGCCCAGGACACTCTTGGCAACATAACGTGCTGTAGTAGTTATGGTGCTTGGGGTATTCCTTTAAGGCAGGTACACGACTACAAATGCAGAAAGGTCATCATAGGTAAGATTATATATGTAACCCATAAGCTGCAGAATGTATCCCAGAAGTATATAGTGTTATGCTTTTTGATTTCCTACGGAACATTTTTGCTCCAGAAAACTTCATCACGGCTTAAATCAACCCTAGAGTCTTACTTCTCAATATCTTGTACACTTTACTTCTCTGCAGTACCAAAAACTGTTAATACGGAATAGCTGGCTTGCTTATTGATAGGATCCTGAGGTAGAGCTGCACCACGACACAAAGGTTAAGATGATATCTCGAATCTAGAACATTTTAACTGAAGTACTCTTACTTGCATATTTATAATGTATTCAAAAATAAAGGATCCTTTTTACTCAGAAGTTTCCCTTTAAGATGCAATTAAAATGTGAGTAAAATGAACATAGGCTGATTAAAAAAACATTCTTTATCTACAAATGTGTTGCCTCAAATTCAAAGGCTTTCATTGTTCCCTTGAAACAGTGTTACGTAGAAGATAGTTCCTTAGAAACAAAAAACAAAGTTGCCGTTAATACATGATAAACATTCATAATAATAAAATTCTTACAAATTTCCTACGAGCTTGTTGAAGGGCGTCGGATTCTTCCAATTTCTTTGCCTCCTCACGGAATTTCTTAATATTTTCTTTCATTTCCTTGTTTTTCGAGAGCTCTTGTTTAATATTGTCAAGAAGTCCTGAGAGAAATCCTCTTCTACCTTCTGATGCATAGTACCGTAACTGTAGCAGATGGAGAAGCAGAAATATTGAGACTCATTTATTCTAGCCAAAAGATTAAATGCAGACGGCTTTGCAGTTAGTATTCCTGATTCACCCCCAAAATGTATACACTATTGTGAAAATTGTGGCTGTTCCTCTCTCAGATTTACTCATTCTACACAGCTATTTATGTATCACTTAAGAAATGTGTGTTCAACCTACAAATTATTAGTACCTGTTTGGTATAACTGCTTAACCCTCTTAACAGCGCATGACTGAATTATTCCGTCATGGATGTCCTACCGTTTAGGACCCGTGATGGAATAATTCCCTCCCACAGCATTTTCACTCGATAACTGAGGCTTTGCTCTGTCAGCAAGGGCCAATATTATTGGCCCTATGCTGACCAATGAGCTGTGTCAAAGAGACTGCTGCACAGAGCCATTAAGTTACTGTAGCTGAATTTCCTAGTTGACTTAGAGGGTTTGAAAAAACCTTGATGGGGTCTCCATGCAGCGCAATCATCAAAGGGTGGTCAGCATTGCTACCCAGTGCTGATTCCTGTGTGTGTGTAATCTCCCTGTAAAAGGGCTTTAAGTCGTTTTGTCACTATATGATTTAGCAGCAGAGAGGGAAATAATTCCTCTTATGCTGTAAGTGCACGTTGCACTGTAAGGGAATCTCTCTGCTGACTTCAGCAAGGGAATCCCACTAACATTACTCTAGGATTATGTTTAGTGATACTGTATGTTAGTAATTAGGTTAGGGTTAGTTAGTGATTAGAGCAACAGTTACAGTTAGGGTCAGCAGTAAGGTTAGTTCATTTAGAATTTAGAGTTAATTAAAGGGACACTATAGGAACCCAGACTATTTCAGCTCATTAAGGTGGTCTGGGAGCAATGTCCTGTTTCCCCCTTAGTCCTGCAATGTAAATCATTGCAGTTTTATAGAAATTGCATAAGCATAGGACTAAGACTGCCTCTAGTAGCTGTCAATCAGACAGCCACTAGAGGCACTTCCTGATTGCCATGCAGCTTTTGGTCGCCTAACTGACGCTGTAAGTCCTCACGCTCTGCATGAGGACCTCTATTGTCAGTAAAATCCCCATAGAAAAGCATTGCAGCAATGCGTTCCTATGTGGATGGCCTAACACACTTGCGGCTCTCTCGCATTATCGACCCCAATCAGGTGACATCAGGAGGAGGAGAGCCGACCCATCATTGAGGGAGATCAACGCTGGATTCGGGTAAGTAAGGGTTTGGTGGGGGAGGGGAGGCAGTGGGAAGTATAGTGCTAGGAATACAGATTTGTTTTCCTACCACTATAGTATCCCTTTAATATTCATGTTTGTGGTTACAGATGGGGTTACAGTTAGGGTTAGCAGTATAGTTAGTATTAGGGTTATAACGACAACCCTAATCGGTTTGCATCACTGATGACAACATAGACACATCTTCACTTTTCTCATATAAAAAATAAACAAATCTGCTCACTGCAGGTAATTTGACCCTGCATCTTTGAATTAAGTCTGCAAAGTTATACATTGGGGATATAAATGTACTCAGGAGATGTGGCCGAGTGCAGTTAAAAGCATAGCATTACAGTGCCACACACGAGATGTAAAAAATATGCAGTATGTATATGTAAAAATTAGAAAATAAAAGGGCGGAGCTTAACCACGGAACGGAGCGGTCGCATGTGTAGCGAGCTCCGGCAAAAACGCGGCTAATTACCGACAAACAAACCTCTCACAGCCCTTATAATCCTATCAACCGACGGCCAGGACAGAGGGGCAAAGCACTCACCTGATCGATGCCCTTTTTATACCGCCAGACGGGACGGAAAGTACGCCGCACATCCAAGGCCTATCCAGACTACAGGGCCTTTGAGACGGCGCTCCACAACGCGGTCTTCTCCACTGCCATACCGCCCACGGAGCACACAGACACCGACCCGATAAACATGGGACGAAAATCCCAGCGGATAGCTACAGGTGCGTGCAAAGATACCCAAGACATTAGCACCATGCTCCAGCGCACAGCGGCACCGAAAATGGCGGCCACACCCGACCCAGACACAGGCTCCACGTGCTCGGAACTTGCCCTGGGGGACACCCTAGAACATCACTCAGCCCAAACTGACCCTGATGCACTGACACCTGCCACAAAATTAGACATTAAAAACCTCCTCATGGAGCTGAAACAAATGTCCGCAGCAGACATGGCTTTAATGAAAACGGAGGTGCAGGCGGTCACAGACCGAGTGAAGACCACTGAAGAAGACATTATAGATGTTCAAAACGAAATGAGAAGCCTAAAAGAAACAGTGCACCAACTAAAAGCATCACACACAACCCTGATCAACAAGCTGGATGCAGCAGAAGAGAGAAGCCGTAAGAGCAATGTGAAAATCAGGGGTATCCCTGAAGAAATAAGTCAGGCGGAACTACCACACTACTTTAGACGTCTGGCCGCCACCATAATGCCACACGCACAGGCCAAAAAATTAAATATAGCAGGGATATTTCGCATCCGGAAATCGCCACAGGCACCCCCCCAAGCAACCAAAGATGTGATCGTACGGTGCCATACCCAAACAGACAGAAATGCCATCTTCGCTGCCCTAAAAGGCAAAACACCATTGGACTTTGAAACCGCGAGTCTTACCTTCTATCAGGACCTGACACGATCCACACTCCAATGGAGAAGAACCCTGCGCCCTATGACCCGCCGCCTCCAAGACGCCAAGTTAGTATACCGCTGGACTGCACCAAAAACACTATCGGTGGACCACAACGGCACCACTCTACACCTCAACTCCACTCAGGAGGTGGACTCTTTCATTAAGGCACTGGGACTACCACAAGGATCTGACCACACAGAAGTACCCGCCAGCTCCCATATGTGGGACCCCAACAGGACTGTCCCTTTTCTACCGAGGGGAAGAGGAGCCCCTGAGGCAACCACCTGACACCACTGACTGTCTCTCAATCCATAAACGCGCTTCAACTACGAAGCCTCTACCGCTATAATTATTGTTTCGCTATAATTTGACTTTCACTGGTTTTCGACTTGATTTTTCTCAATTGTTTAAGGCTTGGCACCTAGGCACCACTGTAAGGCACACTATGTTTCCCAGGATTATATAATCCACGTAATGGCAAAATACGGCACACCGCTATAGCCACGACGAGTAGCACACTACACGGCAAAACACTCTTAGGTTAGGGCCAACTATAGGCCGCTGGTATATTCCGCCCCCCCGCGGCCTCCCTGGTTAGGGGCCACTAACCACTTGATACCGCACGAATACCACTTAAACACATGGGAAGACCCAGGGTTGACATTAAGTACACCCACACCAAGCGAGCCAGAACCTGGGACCCCCAAACTGAGCCACACTAACAAGGAGTGGGGCAAAATTATTTATCGCCATAGTACATATTTCAAATCACTAACATGGGAGGAGGAATAGCTACTCAGAACCCTACACACATACTGGATGTACAGATTACACTATATCCATACAACTTCTTCCTCCAAACAGGAGACTATGGCGATCTAGCGATAATTCTAATTAGAAGGATGTAACGTGGGAACTTACTTTCCTAATTTAAAATTGTGCAAAGTATTTCAATGCCAAATGTTTATTCATGTTTTCTGTTTGAAGCCTGAGACAGCTGTTGTGGCATCTCAAGCGACTATGTTAAACAAATGCGCAACAAAAATAAAGAATTATAAAAAAAAGAATATAGGAGACCAGAGTACTGCAAACTCAGAATATAGGAGACCAGAGTACAAAAAAATTAGAAAATAAAAATAACACAAATTTTGAGAAGAAAATGGTAAAAAAAAAAAAATTGAAATTAAGTAAGCTCAAAATATATGAAATTGATTTCATAAGTATATCTGATAATTGCTACTTAAGAAAGGCTGTAGGTCATTGTTTGACTTTTCTTTTACTTTTTTCTAAAATATAACAATACTCTATTTCCACTTATTAATCTAACTCAGGGCTTGACAAATCCCTGGCGCCAGGTCACCATGACGACCAGGAATTTTGGCCTGGCGGCTGGGATTTGGGAGCCCATCCTCTCTGAGGCAGGCGGGCAGCTGGTTGCGTGTTGTATAGGCTGGAGGCGAGAGAGCTGTAATCTCCCTGCTCTGCTACCTCACGCGCCAGTTAGTGATTCCGGAGCCGGAATATGACATCACTCCAGCCCTGGCATCACTAAGCAGTGCGTGAGGTAGCAGAGCAAGGGAAGAAAACAGTTCCCTCGCTGCCAGCCACACGCCTTCACCGTCCCACAGCCGGCTGCTCACTGGACCCCAGGAAAACACAGATCCACTGATCCACTCTAGTTCTCCCAAAGGTACAGAGGATGGGTGAAACACAAATGCATGAAAAAAAAATAATAATGTGTTTGTGCATGTGTGCCAGTCATAGTACGTGTGTTTGTCAGTGTGTGTGTCTGTCACCGTATGTGTGCGTTTATTTTTCTGTTAGTGTATGCGTTTGTGTTTAGGTGACCTGCCCTCCTCCGATCACATGGGCATGGTGTTTTTACTCACCTTTTTCCCCTACGCTGTGGCCCCGCCTCTATGGTTGAGATAACCACAATTAATGATCTCTGTCAATCTAATGCTTTTCCATGGGAAAGTATTGGGAAGCTATTGCGCATGCACTGTTAAATGCTGCGCCAATCAGCATCTCCTCACACTTGGCAGCACTGAGGTAGGAAGAAATTTAGTGGTCTGAGTGACCGCCACTAGAGGTGTTACTAGGCAGCAATGTAAACTCTGAAAAGACAGTGTTTAAACTGAAAAGCATGCAGGGACAGGCTACAGACACCAGAACCACTACATTAATCTGTAGTGGCCTTGGTGACTATAGTATCCCTTTAAGAATTGTATTTTGTTGTTGAAAATAAAAAAAAATGTATATGTTTGAAAAACCTAGCTCCTAACTTTTTTAATTGGCTCCTACATTCAAAGCTAATTTGTCAAAGCATGACCTAACCCTTTGTATTCTTTAACATATTAAGGTATTGATAACATTTTTCTTTTACCTGTTGGGATTCCAGAGCAGGGCGACATATCCGATAAACGCTGCCATTATTCACTATAGACAAAGGATGTTTTGCCAACAGGATTATATGTCTGCTCGACATGCGCAGCTAAAACAGAACAGGAAATACATTTAAAAAAAAAACCACAATGTAATAATAATAATAATATATATATATATATATATATACACACACATACATACACACACACACACACACCCCACAGTAAATGTGTAGATGGGTTTTTCCAACATGTCTTTACTTTATTGTTACTTTACGTTCATTTAGGACCTCTTGTATATGCTATATAGAACAGACCAGGCACTTTAAGTAAGCAGCCACTAGTGCGCTCTACTGGGTAGGCTGTGTGGGTCCTGGGCATTTTTCTGTCTTTGTTTATTTTCCCATTTTCTAGATGTGCATTTTTAAACTTAGATTAAAAGCTACATTTTAATTACAGGGATTTGCTTCTGTCTGTAGTTCTTTTTCTCTTTTAGGGACTACATCTTTAGTGACACTTTGCTATCTCTGTCAAGTGGTTTAAGCATTGCCTGATAGACTAAAATCTCAATGTTCTCTTAGTCTAGACTGGCACATTGGGATCATTTACAGTAGACCACAGTAACACACACACACACATAAGTTGTTATGGGTGGCAATGGGGTCATGGGAAAGATCTTTGTGAATGCTCTGTCATCCTGAGCTGTTCATACTGATGGAGGTTACAGAGATATCTGACGACACATCTCACAACTCTAGGAGACTCCATCTGTTAAACATATATATTGCATGTTCCACACCATCCACAATGAGATTTGTGAGTATTATCTGCAATAAAAGACCATTTATTTGTACTTGTCCCCAGTACAAAAATTACCTTGCATTTAAGCAGGTTATTTTGGTGCTTATATAAAGGACCAGTATAGGCACACAGACCACTTCAGTTTCAGAGAAACTGCTATGTTTATACTGCAGGGTAAATCCAGCTTCTAGTGGCTGTCTCCCTGACAGCCACTAGAGGCCGTTTTAGCGATTTACACAGAGTAAATCAAAAAAAGATCCCCATAATAAAGCATTGAGTAGTGCTTTCCTATGGGCGGGTTTCAATGCGCGCGCCTCTGGCCGTGCATGCGACTCCACTCAGAAGCTGACATCGATGGAGGAGGAGAGGTTACCAGTGCCGAGGGACAAACATGTATTCCTAACCCTATAGTGTTAAAACCACCATTTAGAAAAGGTGAAAACTCATCTTATTTACAACACCATGCATGTCCGCCGACGCTGGCCCCGCTCCCGATCCCCCTCCTTGGTGAAATTAACAGAATTGCGGATTTTCAGCCAATCAAATGTTTTCCCATACGGAAAGCGTTGGATTGGCTGGAATCGGTAAGTAGGTTGGATGGGGCAGGGCCAAATACTGCCCCTCCCCGGGAAAGCATTGGATTGGCTGAGATCAGCAAGGAGGCGAAGGCGGGACCAAAACACCGCCCTGGCCAATGAGCATCTCCTCAGAGATGCATTGAATCAATGCATCTCTACGAGGAAAGTGCAGCGTCTCCATGTAGAATGTGCAGCACTGCCCCAGGCAGCACCTCTAATGGCTGTCTGATGAGTGGCCACTGGAGGTGTCCCTAGGCTTTGATGTAAACACTGCCTTTTCCTTTTACTGCAAAAAGCCTGCAGAGACTCACTATACTCACCAGAACAACTACATTAAGCTGTAGTTATACTGGTGACTATAGTTTCACTTTAAATAATTTTTAAAGTATATTCAAATATATTAAATAAATTTAGAAAGCTTATCCAACAATGTTAAATCAAGGCCCAAGTTGGGATTTGGTGTCAGGTTATTCTAAATATATAAGCCAGCACTTCATTATTAAAAGGAAACTATAGTGTCGGGAAAACAAAGTTTCCTATGGGGTCTTGCATAGCACGAGGACATCCAGAGTCAGGCGAAGAAAAGTCACCTAACGTCCCGGAAGTTAACCCTGGCAGGTAGTTATTGCAGTTTATTAAAACCTGTAATAATTACCACTGCAGGGCTAAGGGACCTTTGAATATACACCCAGACCACTTTAATGAGAATGAAAAGGTATGGGTGCCTATAGTGTCCATTTAACGCCTGGTCTTGACTACAGAGTAATCTACACAACAGACACACACAGATCCCCAATGCAGAATGTTTACAGCAGTAGCACATAAGCAAAACATTAGGCAACATTCACGATTCCCAAATGCTAATACAAAACAAATGCGCAATTTAATCGGAGCTATATAAGAAAACGTTCAGCTTGTAAACACGTGAAACCAATCACAATTAATAAAACAAAATTTACATTTGTTTTTTTAAAACAAGCGTACAGCGCATTAACATATTTAATTGAACTTAAATTCACTACATCCAAGTGTACACTGCCAACTAATCCCACATCAAATTATGTGAAAAAGTAAAGTTACAAGTTGATGTCACTGTAATATAGAGAAACATACACTCTCATAGGGCATCATAGTAATTATATACCATGACATAAGAGGTTCTTTATAAGTAATACACTCACATTGTATGAGCTTGTTTGGGTTTGATGTGGGATGTTTCACCAATATTATTTGTCAGTGTACATTTGGATGTAGTGTATTTAAGTTCACTTATATATGTTAATGCCCTGTCCACTTGTGTTTTTTTTTATTGATTTATTTCCAAATGCTACCTATAAATGAGCCAGTCGTTTATATAACACAATATATTGATAGGATTATTAGCCCAGTCTGCTCAGTGGTTGCATCAGAAATATGTATGTAATGGGGAAGATATAGTAGAAGAAGGTACACTGTATGATAAATGGCTTCAGGTGGTGATTTCATTATTAGATGAAGAAATATTTATCGCAAACTGAACAAATTAAATAACACAGAAAAATAAACTGACATGATCCCAGCACAGGGCTATAGGCATGACAAGAGGTGAGGCCCTACTCATTCAGTGTCCTCAGATTAGGGTCCCTTGCAGCCCACCCAGAGACTAATTGGAAAGGGAATGCTTATATCCTTCCATTAAGGTCATGGTAGGGAAGTAAAAGGTTGGCATTCATATTACTAGTCTTTACATACCCGGTAACACTGACACAAGGCAGCTGCCATCTTTGTAGAGGAAGAAGCACTATGACCTTCCCGTGGTTTCCAGCGTGTTGCTGGTCGACTGCTGATGACGTCAGTGAAGCCGGCTCTCGCTGCCAGTCTTTGGGAAGAGGCATGCATGGCAGAGTGGGTTTTGTATTTGGATGTGTTTATAAATGACACCGAAGAAAAAGCCCACATCGTTGGTCATAAACCTCTAATTTAATAACCGAGAAATGATATGGTGCTATATAGTTATATCTCAATTGCAACTGGGTTTTCTTTTGAAAATTACAATTTGTTCTGTTAATGGTTTATAGACTACTTCACTAAGAGCCACTGGAGAAAATAAATTAAACTGCTTAGTTAATGTATAGGATTTTCTTGACAGTCCCATCTGCAGAATTAAAGGGAAACTATAGGCCCCTAGACCACTTCAGCTCATTGAAGTGGTCTGAGTGCTGTGTCCCTACTGCACTTAGTGCTGCAATGTAAACAAATTGCAGTTCAAGAGAAACTGCCATGTTTACATTGCAGCACTAAGTCTGCCCCCAGTGGCTGTTTCCCAGAGCGCCACTAGAGGGCTTCCGGAATGTTAACGGACTTTTGGTCCATTATCTGACGCCAGACGTCCTCACGTTCAGGGCCGGCGCTTCCTATAAGGCGACCTTAGGGTGCCACAAAGGAGGGGGCGCCCTGCGCCCTCATCGCCAGCCCTTCTAATGCTGCAGCCGCTTGAGCGCTCTATAGAGAGCCTCAGGCGGCTGCAGCACTGCCTCTCTCCCCCCTTCCCTTCCTTGTGTAGCGTGGCTGAGCTCCTCTCCGGTCCGTGGTACATTAACATCCGTTTCCTGTACCCAACCGGACTAATAGGAAGTGCTCACTCAATGTGCACTTCCTGTCAGTCCGGCCAGGTACAGGAAACTCCTGTACGGCAGACTGGAGAGGAGCTCGGCCACGCTACACAGGGAAGGAGGTGGGTGAGGAGAACACAGGGAGGGGGGGAAGAGTCCACTGAGGGAGGGAAGAGACCAAAAGGGGGGTGGTGAGGAGAATGGGGGGAGGGTCCACTAAGGGAGGGAGGGGGTGTGAGAAGAACTAGGGAGGAAGGGGTAAGGAGAACGTGGGGTGGGGGGAGAGGAGAGACCACTAATGGTAAGGAGGGGCAGAGGAGAGCAGAGACCACTAATGGAAAGTCGGGGAGAAAAAAAAGAGACCACTAAGGGAGGCTGGGGGTTGAGTAGAGACCAGTAAGGGAGGTTGGGGACAGAGTAGAGACCACTAAGGGACAGGGGAGGAGAAGAGAGGCCACTAAGGGGCAGAGGAGAGCTCAAAGGGACGGAAGGGAGAGCTCTATAGGACAGGGGGCAGGACAGGGAGCTCTTTCACACTACGCACACACAATGCATCCCTATACACATACAGAAACACAACATACTTCCCTTACACACAGAGAAACACACAATGCAACCCTTACACATAAAGACAATGCATCCTTTGCACACATACACAGAAACACGCACTGCATACCTTACACACAACCAGAAACATACAATACATCCCTTATACACAAACACATACTGCTTTCTACAAGGTTCAAGCCCTGGGGGAAAAAGTGTGAGAACTCAACCAAGATGCACCCCCCCACCCCTAAAATAAAATCATATGCTCGTATGTATATATATATATATATATATGTTGTGGACAAAAATATTAACCCAAGTCATATTAATAAAATGCCTATTTACTCAGCATAACCACAATCAGCATTATTCAACCTTATACGTAATTTACCTAAAATGGCCGCTAGGGAGTTTCCCTTTGACATTAACAAGATGGCGCTGGAATCTGGGGGAGACCTCCAAGATACCAGTGACATCACACCTGGTAGGAAGGGCACTAAATGAACCACTTAACACCTATGTGGCAGAACCAACCTCGCCACTATGCACTGGAGAAGCCTGGTTGCTCGTCTGCTGCCTTTAGACTATGGCCCCTGGGAGATTGTGAAAACTTATGGACTTTTATTGGGTGTGTATGGCCCTTTAAGACAGTCGGTGGGCATATTGGGGCTTATGTACGTTTTATGGGACTGGTGCTGGCCCTTTAAGCACCTTTTTGGGGCATAGGGAAAATTGGGACACTGCCCCTTTAAGACGGTGTCCCCAGACTTGTTTGGGACACTGCCCCTTTAAGACGGTGTCCCCTGTGTCCCCAGACCTGGTTAAAACCCTTTGTTCCTAGCTATTTCCCACTTGGTTCAGTAAATGGGGCTTACTGAACCAAGTACCACACAGGCGGACCACCTGTATTGGGAGTGTGTCGGCAATTTACCTCCCAGAAGCTGCGGTTAACCGCAGCTTAATTGACAATGCTGGGTGGCCTTTGTTAGTTTGCTGAACACGTGGCGGCGGCCATCTTTGTTCATTCGCACGAGGTCAGCGGTATGTGTAGCCAAATTCATGGAACTAAAATCGGCTACACATTTCCGCGAACACCGCTGAGCCCTACCTTCTCCCACAATGATTTTGCAGCCGCAGAGACTGTCCCATTCGGCGATGGGACTTAGTCGTTTTTTCAGCCTGAAATAGACCGACCGCACAGTCCATATCTATGGAACTGTTTTGGGCAGGAAAATGTGCTTGCGGTCGGTCATAAAGGGACCTCCAGCTAACCTTTTAACCCCTGGATGGATTTGGCTGATTTTTGGTTATGTATATATTTGAAGGTTGCTGATTCTAAATATGGAGATTGGATGTGTGGTTTTAAAGTTACAGGATATGTGTAAAAACTGTATTTTTACTGCCTGTGTTAATTATGTTAAACCATTGTGTAACATAATTATATCACAGGCAGAGTGGAGGATTTTTGTATGTAATTGCTGGGAGTGTTTCTGTAATATACGTGTATGATTGGTTGTTTTGTAAAACCCTGTGGGTGGTCCTATCTAAGGGAAACCTGCATAAAAGAAGGTTCATTTGGTGCCAGTAAACAGATTCTGCTTAACCCTCAAAACAAAGTGTCGTCTTGTTATTGGGGGAATTGGATTGTATGCTGACTGCCAGGAGTGTAAACCTTTCGTATGGTTTTTCCTGTTCGGCTGTTTCCAGTATTCGTGTAGTTTGCAGTTCGGGAGATTGGTGCTTACAGTAGCTGCCTGTGCATCTGGGAAGGTTGTAAGGTGGGTAGGGGGGTTGTGAGTGGGTAGGGGGACTGTGAGGTGGGTAGGGAGTTGTAAGGTGGGTAGGGGGGATGTAAGGTAGGTTGGGGACTGTAAGGTGGGTAGGAGAGTAGTGAAGTGGGTAGGGGAACGGACACATGGGGACACACACACAATTTTTGTAAAATCCACCCAGCCTCCCTAAATTTGGGAGAGCTGGGTGGATAATCTGTACATGGCATCCAGTGGGGCTACTGGCCGGTCTGTGCAGTGAAGGTCCAGGCGGGCAGCGAGGGAGCGCTGGTCTGTGAGCTCTCCCTGCTCAGCTCCCTCGCGCGCCGCAGAGTGCTGCCGGGAACCGGAATATGACATCTGCGGTCACATGGGTGCAGTTTCCATCCATGTGACCAGGGCCGGACTGGGAAAAAAATTAGGCCCGGGCATTTTTCAATTAGAGCAGCCCCCCCAAAAGGAGGCGGGGCCAGAGAAAGTGAGCATGTTGGTTCAATGCGCAGAGCCCCGCTGAAGAGCTCTAGCATTAGAAAAAGGCCCTGTATTTGTTCTGCGCAGCGCAAGCAAATGTAATAACATGCTTGCGCTGTGTTTGCTTTTAAATTGTCTCTGGTGTCTCCACAAGTGGGATACCAGAGGACAAAAGGGCCAGGAAAGTGTATGGTGCATGTGTTTGGCGCATGCTTGTGGGATTGCCTGTGTGTAGAGTGTGGTGTGGTATTGTGTAAATAGGTCAATTTTGTGGTGTAATATGTGTGGCTAGGGGCTGTAGAGAGTGCTTGTATAGGGGCATAGTGTTATAGGGGATGTAGCGAGTATGTGCATACGGGCAGTAGTGTGTGTGTATAGGTGACGTAGTGTGTGTCACTTATACACACACACTACTGTGTGTAGAGAGGGTGTGTTTAGATAATGTTGTGTGTGTTTGCTTACAAGGAATGTAGTGTGTGTGTAGGTGGTGCAGTGTGTGTGTAAGAGATCTAGTGTGTAAAGGACCCAGAGTGTGTATAGAAGATTGTGTGTGTGTGTGTGTGTGTGTGTGTGTGTAGAGGATTAAGAGTGCATATAGGGTAAGGGATCTAGCGTGTATCTGGAGCGTAATGTGTGTAGTGGTGCAGTGTGAGGGGTGCTGTAGTGTGTGTGTATATATATATATATATATATATATATATATATATATATAATCTCAAAAAAACAGGATGCTTGGCACTCTCCTTTAAGTAATAAGAAAGAACTAATAGCCTGGGTGCTATATCCCAAACGTCAGAAATATACAAAACTGAGGATGCACTCACAGGACTTGGTTAAAGTGAAAAAAAGGGACTTTTAATTATTCCATGTGAATGGAAAATTGATTTTTCTGTACATTTCACATGGAATAATTAAAAGTCCCTTTTTTTCACTTTAACCAAGTCCTGTGAGTGCATCCTCAGTTTTGATTTTTGTATGTATATATATATATATATATATATATATATATATTATATTTGGACGTATTGTATGTGTGAGGTGCGCAGCGTGTTTGTGTAAGAGGGGTGCTGTGTGTGAGGGTGTTTTTATCTGCCGTCACATTCTGGGTTTCTAATTTTATTTGTCTGTTAACTCACTGAGGGTTTTTTTTATATAATATATGTGCTGTATATGTGTGGGAGTGAGGGTGCTGTCTGTCTGAGGGTGTTGTGTGTGTCTGGGGGTGCGCTGTGTGTGTCTGGGGGTGCGCTGTGTGTCTGTGGGGTGCTGTGTGTGTCTGCTGTGTGTGTCTGTGTGTGTGTGTCTGTGGGGTGCTGTGTGTGTGTCTGGGGGGGCTGTGTGTGTCTGGGGGTGCTGTGTGTGTGCTGGGTGCTGTGTGTGTCTTGGTGCTTTGTGTGTCCTGGTGCTTTGTGTGTCTGGTTGCTTTGTGTGTCTGGGTGCTGTGTGTGTCCGGGTGCTGTGTGTGTCTGGGGTGTGCTGTGTGTGCCCGTGGGGTGCTGTGTGTGTCTGATGGGTGCTG